ACTGTTTCCTAAAACATCCAGTAGATGTGTATTAATCATTAATAAATAATCATTATATCATCATAAAAAACAAATGTTTACGAAATAATAAAAAGTATTTGCAACCTAATTCAATGTTCCTGGGAATATTGTGTCTCTAGTCTGAACAATCTAATTGGCTAACTTTTATTATCATTCTGAACAATATCATCAAATTTCACTTTAAATCAGACAGTCGAATGCAAAGTAAAACCTGATGCATCTATAAATCATTTCCAGTTATTACACCAAGTCAGTACAACGATACCAGTAATTTGAGTTTTAACAGTATTAGTAATAGTATAAACAATTAAGTATAACAGATGTTAATGAAGAACGAAACGTAGATTCACGGAATATAAATTCGTTTAAGATAATTAGTAAAATTGGGATCTAATAGAAGAAAAAGAGTGTTAGGTCCCGAAAAACATAATGAATGGTAAATTTGGGATCTATTGATGAACCAATACTAAATGTATATTTCCATTGTATAATTATTAAGTAACCAAACTAGGCATATTCATATTCCTCTTATTATACACTTTATTTTGACCCATAAACTATTATTATACGTTTTACCATTCTTGACTTATACCCAGTATATTAATTACTACCTCCCTCATTCACAGCTACATCTGGCTAATTCTTGTACAAATGCTGTTTTCTATTTTATTGGTACGTTGTGTTCTGCTTGATTGGCATATAAAAAGAGTGTGTTTGAAATATAATGATTCATATCTCAGAGGCTCGGGTTGTTATTCTGGACTTAACTGGCTCGGCTAGGTTGAAAGCAGGGCAATCAGACTCTAGGCTGCTCGCACGTGTTTTACGCGTCATTGATCCGATCGATAAGTCACTGTACATTAATAGGCAGTCACAAGTTATAACAGAGAGCGTCATTGGGAATGGTTCACCCAAAGTCTCTAAACACTGTTCTTTATGATCATGTAAACCTTAGCGAGACGATCTCTACCTGCCTGAAAGGCTCAGTTTAGCAGAATTACAAAGCCAAATAAAAATAAGTAGAGTGAATGTCAACTCCGCCTATAGCTGTACTGGAGTTACTGCCGGTCCCAAGCCCGGATAAAGGAGGAGGGTTGAGCACGTGGTTAATGTCTCCATCCCGTAGAAAACTAACTCGCTAAAAAACAGCTTACCAGAAAATATAATCCAAACCATTTAAACTCTGCCCCGAGAGTTAGAAGGTCTTCATTTAGAAGAATTATGACGCTTCATGGTGAAAGCCGAGTTCCTTCGGAAGCCACGAGGCTGATGCCCCTTCTAACAACCAGAGCAAAAATTTTTATAGGTACATGGAACGTTCGAACAAAGTAGGAAACAGGGAAGACCAGTCAAATAGCATTGGAAATGAGGAGATACAACTTAGCCGTACTGGGAATCAGCGAAACCCACTGGACCCAAGCTGGACAGAAAAAGCTAGCTACGGGAGAGATGCTGCTATACTCCGGTCAAGAAGAGAAAAAGGCTCCACACACTCAGGGAGTCGCTCTTATGCTGTCCAAAGTAGCACGAAATGCACTTGTAGGATGGGAATCTCACGGATCCAGAATCATCAAAGCATCATTCAAAACAAAGAAGGAGGGGATCTTAATGAATATTATCCAATGTTATGCACCCATCAATGATAGCAACGACGACATTAAAGATCAGTTCTACGAGCGTCTGCAGTCAGTCATTGAGAAATGCCCAAGAAAGGACCTAACTATTCTGATGGGAGATCTAAATGCCAAAGTCGGAATAGACAACACTGGATATGAAGATATTATGGGACGACATGGACTGGGAGAAAGAAACGAAAATGGAGAAAGATTTGCAAATCTATGTGCATTCAACAGATTGGTCATAGGAAGCACAATATTTCCACACAAGCGTATACACAAGGCTACATGGATCTCACCGGACCACACTACAGAGAACCAAATAGATCATATTTGCATCAACAAAAAATTCCGAAGGACAATGGAAGATATGAGAACCAGGAGAGGAGCTGACATAGCTTCAGATCACCACCTAGTTGTGGCCAATTTAAAACTGAAGCTAAAAAAGAACTGGACAAGTGGACAAACAGCACTACAAAGGTTCAATACAACCTTCCTTCGAGATACTGACAAACTCAATGAATTCAAGATTGCTCTCAACAACAGGTTCCAAGCCTTACAAGATCTACTGAAAGAAGAAGAAACTAGTATGGAGGACAACTGGAAAGGCATCAAGGAAGCATTGACTTCAACGTGTCAAGAGGTTCTGGGCCTAAAGAAACACCATCATAAGGAGTGGATCTCTATAGAAACTCTGGACAAGATCAAAGAAAGGAAGAACAAGAAGGCAGCAATAAACAACAGCCGAACACGAGCAGAGAAAGTCTAAGCACAAGCTAAATACATAGAAGCAAACAAACAAGTGAAGAGGAGCATTATAGCCGACAAGGAGAAATACGTGGAAGAACTAGCAACGACGAAGGAAAAAGCTGCTAGAGAAGGAAATATGAAACAGCTTCACGATACAACGAAGAAACTATCAGGGAAATACAGTAAACCAGAGAGACCGGTCAACGACAAAGAAGGCAATCCAATCACTGAAATTCAACAACAGCGGAACAGATGGGTAGAATACTTCGAGGAACTCTTGAATAGGCCGGCTTCAATGAATCCACCGGACACCAAAGCAGCACACACAGATCTTCCTATAGACGTCAACCCACCAACGAAGGAAGAAATCAAAATGGCCGTCAGACAAATCAAGAACGGGAAAGCAGCGGGGTCCGACAACATACCAGCTGAAGCACTGAAGTCAGACATCGAAGCAACTACAAACATGCTTTACCTTCGATTCAAAAGGATTTGGGAGGAGGAACAAGTGCCGATGGACTGGAAAGAAGAGCACCTCGTCAAGATTCCAAAGAAAGGAGGTCTGAGCAAATGTGAAAACTACAGAGGCATCACACTGCTGTCAATACCAGGGAAAGTCTTCAACAGAGTGTTGCTGAACCGGATGAAGGATGCAGTAGACGCCCAACTTCGAGATCAACAAGCTGGATTCCGTAAGGATCGATCATGCACAGACCAAATTGCAACACTACGGATCATCGTCGAACAATCAGTTGAGTGGAACTCATCACTATACATCAACTTCATTGATTATGAAAAAGCATTCGAAAGTGTAGATAGGAGGACACTATGGAAACTTCTTCGACACTACGGAGTTCCTGAGAAGATTGTCAACATTATCCGGAACTCATACGACGGACTACAATGCAAAGCCGTGCATGGAGGACAGCTGATAGATGCATTCCAAGTAAGGACCGGAGTCAGACAAGGCTGCCTACTCTCTCCCTTCCTCTTTCTTCTGGTGGTCGACTGGATTATGAAGACCTCGACATCTGAAGGAAAAGACGGAATACAATGGACAGCTCGAAATCAATTAGACGATTTGGACTTCGCAGATGACCTAGCCCTCCTATCACGTACACACGAACAGATGCAGATGAAGACAGCCAGTGTAGCAGCAGTCTCTGCATCAGTAGGCCTCAGCATAAACAAAGGGAAAACCAAAGTCCTCAAATTCAAAGCGGAAAACAACAATCCAATCACTCTTGATGGCGAAACTGTGGAAAATGTAGAGTCCTTCACATACCTAGGAAGCATCATCGATGAACAAGGAGGCTCAGATGTAGACGTAAAGGCAAGGATTGGCAAAGCAAGGGTCGCATTCCTACAATTGAAGAACATATGGAACTCAAAACAACTTTCAACCAATATCAAAGTGAGAATCTTCAATACCAACGTCAAAGCAGTTCTACTGTATGGAGCTGAAACTTGGAGAACTACAACAACCACCATCAAGAAAGTACAATTATTTATAAATAGCTGTCTTCGCAAGATACTCAACATCCGTTGGCCGGATACCATCAGCAACAGACTTTTGTGGGAGAGAACAAACCAGCTTCCAGCTGGAGAAGAAATTAGGAAAAGACGATGGAAATGGATAGGACATACATTACGAAAATCGTCAAACTGCATCACGAGACAGGTACTAACTTGGAATCCTGAAGGGAAGCGAAAAAGAGGAAGGCCAAAGAACACATTACGTCGGATAATAGAAGCAGATATGAAAAGGATGAATAGGAACTGGAAGGAGCTGAAAAGGATTGCCCAGGACAGGGTTGGATGGAGAATGCTGGTGAGCGGCCTATGCTCCTTCACGAGGAGTAACAGGCGTAAGTAAGTGAGTAAGTGAGAGTGAATGTCCCTGACACTACTTGATGTTGTCGGTTCTGATGACAGTTCGTTAAAAACATCTGTTTCAACCAAGTAGAGAGCCTGTACAGGGTTAGTAGTTCATTACTTCAATGACAGATACTGCCATAAAACCTTTCGATATATGTAATCGAATGCCGCCTTAAGGTAAAGAAATCTGACTGTGATACATACATATATAAACTTTATTACTTTCAAAGAAAACCTTCTACCAAAATATTGATAAACCAACGTAATGCTGTAAACAATGGCTACCAATATGAAAAATGTAGAAAATAAAATGTTACAGACAATAATCATAATTGGAGACCAATAATTAAGTAAATAAACCTATTTAAGAAGGCAATGTTATGTCTCCGCTAAAAGTACATAACTTATTAGTTAGAGCAATATAACATCTATTCAGTTATGCCAGCAATGAATTCATTTTGACAGATGAATAACTAGATTCAACATGTGATCAAATTTATTAAATCTGTTTATAAAAATATTTACATCACCTTAAAAGATAACAACACACAAAGGCAGTTAAAACTAATGGGCTTGAAAAAAATAATATCAATATTGATTCAAACCTATTTACAGTGTTGTATGCAAGACACTATATAGTTTATGTAGGTGTGGTCCAAACTACCAATAGGGAAACTATAAATTACGTGTCGACTACCAGAATGATGAATATCATGTTAGTTTAAATAAAGTGACAAAACGTTTCTCTCATCTTCTTCTCACGATTAATGTATTTTGATGAGAAAGTTTACAATGATTTCATCATAAGGATTAGTTAGAAAATAACAAGGTATTATATATTTTTAATAACCAATTCTATGTAAATTAACCAGTCACTAGGATGAACATTTCTAATTGGTGGTTGACGGTTTTTACTTTCACGATTTTCATGAATACGGTGATCTTGAGCTAATGGCGAACTGTCATCTGATTTTGCAATCTCATGTGGTGTCCGACAAGGCTGTCCACTTTCTCAATGTTTGTTCTATTTCATCATAGATTTAATGCTGGAAATAGCGTTCTCGTCGTCTGAATTATCAAGAATTGACCTTCTATTAGGTTCCATTTATCGACTTAGAATACGCGAATGACATGGTCATGTTTGGTGAATACACTGATAAAATTCAGAGTCGAGCGCATCGACAACTGTACTTATCTTAGAAGTCTGATCAGCCCTAATGGGTTGGTGTCTGAATAAATTTCCGCACGAATACAAAATGTTGGTTTAGCTTTTGCCAAGTTACGTCTATCAATTAAGGGACGAGTATACTGTGCGGAAGTTCGTTCTGTTCTAATATACGGCTGCAAAACATGACCATTAAGAGCGGAAGATACTTATAAGCTACTAGTATTTAACCACAAATATCTTATAAATATTGCTGGCATCAGCTGGGCTCACCGGGTAAGTAATAGTGAGGTTAGACGTAGGGTATTGGCGAATGATGGTAAATCAGTTGATGAGGTTGTGAATCCTCATCGACTGAGATGGTTGGGCCACGTGTTACGTATGCCTGAACACCGACGTGCAATGCCAACCGGTGTAGGGGATGGTTGGAAGAAAGTTAGGGGCGGCCAAACCAAAACGTAGCATAAGTGCTTGAAGTCACTAACTTCTAGTCTGAGCCATGTTGGTAGATGCAGACTACTTGGTTGGGGTCCGCGTGACTAACGTAACCAATGGTTGGAGACTCTTGGTGACATGTTTCAGAATCGATCACAATGGAGGTATATACATTTTTTGTCCGCCCTTAAACCGTAAGAATAAAATTGTTTTATATCTTTCCTTCTACAAACTAATTCTTCGTCTCTGTATCTTTACATGCAATCTTTTTTGTATATTACTACCATTGAATTGACTACTTCTATGAATTTAGTGTTTATCTTGTTGTGCTAATGAGGTGTGTCAAATTGGACCGATGCGTATGTCAATCATTCAATATACTACCCAATGCACTGTGTATGAAAGCGTTTGTAAATATCATCAATATTAAAAGGAAGGACTAACTGGGTGAAATTTGATTTCTAGGACTTATGGAAATTCTCTTCCTTAAATTTTCTAATGTCGGATACTCGTTTATCCAATATTCTAGTTCTTCTATATTACATAATTTCGCATTTTTTGATGCATAAACTAATTTTAGTGGTAAAAGAACAGTGATTAGAATATTTTTAAGGGCTTTTATTTTCCCATAGATGATGTTAATGCCTGGAATCGATTTCTCAATATTGGTATAAGGCTTCGATATTGCTTTATGATAAAAGTGGTGAGCACGGTTCTGTACAGTAAGTTAGAAAGATTCAAATGGCTCGGCTGTTTAAATTCCGGTTTACTGGTAATGCAGAGCAACTATAATTCAACTTTACTGTGGATATCTGGCATATTCTTAACTTAGTTTACTAAACAAATCAGCGGGTTTTACCATTACGAATATTCATCTCCAAACTATTCACTGATGAATATAGGATTATTATTTGCAGAGATTTTGTGTAGTTTCATCACGCACTGACATCGTTTGAGAAACCATTCCAAATGATATTATTATGTATATCCTGAATTAACATCTATTTTTCATTGAATTCAAATGATTGTTAATACAATTACAACTCACAAACATATATTGTTTGTCTATACACCAAATAACCCCACTAATTGAAATAATTTAGTTAAAAGACTTTACAACTTCTCTCATAGCCTTTTATCTATGAATTTCAAGCACATAATTGGCATTGAATTCACTACCTTTCTTCAACTTTTTAATTTCTGAATTCATTTTATAAGATCATTGTCATTCGATGAGACTCCTTTAGTAAGTATTACAATGACTAACGTAAACAGTATTAATCGGTAAGGTTATTAAAAATGTATGAATGTCAACGAAAGTCATTTACCTCCCATTATCTAAGAACAGAGTGAATTAAATACAGAGTTCGATCCAACAAGAATGCCAGGTATTTAGGAGATAGTTAGTTAATCAAAGTTCACAGTCCTGAATTCTTTTTTAAGTGATTGATTATGTAGCAAGGTGAGAAACCAACAAATCAATAAATGTGAACTATAGAAAAGATGTGCAACTATATGGAATATCTATTCGGATTAAAAAGATATTTACATGTAGGGACAATTGTCAGTTCGTATTTTCGACGTTTGACCGGATTTTGATATTTAGTATATATTAAGTTTAATTTAAGGACCATTACTTTCTATTACTTTGAGATATTTATTTCAGCAATGGCGTTGAGAGAATACAGGGACTAATATTTTTCTGTTTTATGAAAATACGTCCTTTATTAAAGGCGTATAAGCTGGTTTATCAGTTCAGCGTCGACATGACAAATGTTTCCTATGCAGCAGTCGGTATTTTTTATAAGAATTCGGTTGATGTAGTGTTATAACTCTCGGTTTTACTTCATCTATGGGACGTTAATTTACCTTAGACGAATATCTACACTACATTCCCTCCCAGTGCCTATTCTACAGTACTTCAACACAACTCTGATCAAGAACACGTGATTAGCCTAACTAGAACGTAAATATATTACCACATCAAAACCTGACACAATCCAACAACAATGAACAATCAAAAATCAGTAAGAATAAGGATAGGGGAATTATATAACTCATCTAACATCTGTCAGACTATCTGCATGTCTGACTAAGCAGACAACCAATCACTATCATTCTCGCCCACACATCATGCAGATATTGTGATCTTTAATTCAAGACCTCAATCAACTTACGTGGTAAACTATTCAGTGATAAAAACAAAATCCTCCTTCTCCGAGTTTAGTCATATTCATGTTCTTGTCGTAACCATTTGGATCATCTTATATCAACATCTTTGAGCAGCTATTGAATTTCTAGTGTTCCTGAACTGTTCAGTAATTCCGCTTCCGTCATGTCTTTACTAGAGACCGTATGTAACTCGGGTTAATGTTCCAAAAATGAATCTACACGTGGCTGCAAAATTGTACACTGTTTGGTCTATCCACCTGACTGCATAAGTGTCCATTTTTTTCGGCCTGAAGTTTAATCAAAGATTGTCTTTTTAATTAATCCAAAACAATTTTACTTGTGAGATTTAGTGGGTGTTTGATTTATTCATATGTCATTTTCATGTATTAATTTAGAAAATCGACTTTGTATACTTATACTGTTCAATGGCTGAAAGTAATGGAAATTTGTGCAGCTTGATCGGTACTTTCTGTCGGTTAATTACTTACAGCAATGAAATGCAGGCGTCATTTTTAGTGCAAAACCAGCCTAATATTTTGATTTATTTGAGGTGTTTTTTTAAGTTCCAGATCGTGTGATCGTTAAATTTACACAACAAATAATTCATAAAAAACCTTGATGACATGAAACTTCATTTATTTTGAGTTAGATATAAATATTTTTATTTGCGTTACTTTTTGAAAGCATGTGACTGCAGTGCATACGCAAATTTCACCAATAAATCACAATGCTTTATAGTGTTAAACTGAATACGGTCCTATCACCGAATATTTTTAGTATATCTGTATGTATAATTATTATTGTCTAGTTGCCAGACTATAAATATGTCACCGTAAAACTCACTACGTCCGAATAGTAAATGGTGCAGAACACTCAAGTATTCAAGACATTTTAGCTAGTGTAAGCCGAATTATTCGCTTGCAGACGTCTTCCCACACAAAACACAGAACAAAAATTGTACGATTTATTCACTATAACTTGAGAAAACTTTAGGAGAGCACGTTACTTAAAAATAGTAGACCAACTACTCTAGACTAAAATCCTTAAATAGATGCTATCCAAGTTAATTGATACAGTATCGAAGGTAAACCATTGGAAATTACGCTTAACAATCGGAATCACAGGGGATTTGTAAGAAACTAGTAAAACGAAATTAAATAGAACTTTGACATTCGGATGATACCAAATTTTTGCAACAAAAGTAATCACTATTGTTAATAAACTGTTAGCATCGTAATCACCAATCGTCATAAAAGATAGGATTCTAATAACAAACAAATTATTTAGTACATATATTAGTTCATTTCTAGTAGTCGATAAAGAAATTACTAAGTAAGCTAAAGAAGTAAATATTTAAGGAATAACTAAAGAGAAAGAAAACAAAACAACAATAACAGAAAACTTGACTGTAAAAGCACATTAAGTAACAGTCTATCACAGCTGTAATTATCCCAAGGAAATACAGAATCGTTAAAATCAGACAATCGAGGAGCTATAACTAAATATTATATGCGTAATGGTTCAAATGTAAGAATACGAAACAGTTCGTATACACTTATTTCATTTTAAACTGAATTAATTTTGCCTTTGTTATAGATGCAAGTGACAAGATCTTTATTCAGTATGTACGGTGGTGAAACACAAAACGTTGTTCATTGTATAACAGGAGCTTTAGTATGTCCTAAAACACTTTCTTGAATCCGTATTGACTTTTCTAGTGATGAATTGTTTGGTGAACCAAAATCTGACAAAATCTGACGTACAGCTGTTACAATATCTAAGAAAAAAAGAGAAGGAATGAATATATTTTGTTAAGATTTACTATAACTACAGAGTAAAATGGTAAACGTTATTAGCCCTACACGGTGTGAAACTAATATTTCTTTTTCCACCATGAAATAAATGGGATACATAACTCTACACAAATATATTTATAGTAAATGTATATAATTATTGTAAGAAAGCTAGCTGATCTCAAAGAAATTGTGTTTTGCCCATTTTATTGTTTTGTTTATTAGGCTGTTTTAGATCACATTTGTTTACATCGCTATAATTAACGAATTCCACTATTCATTCAAAAATTATATATTAACTTTTTGACAAAACTACATTTAAATCAAGTAGTTATTTTAAACTGTACTTTACTTGCCATTACCATGTTTAACAACCAAAACATCTACATCATTTTGAAGTTATCGACGGTACTTTACAGCTACTTTAATGAGCAATTGGTATGTATTTGCTCTGTGTGAATAAACTTGGCCTTGATAGGTAAAAATGTTTCTTTAATATGCAGCAGATTAACCAATATATTGCTATAGATTTATCAAGATCATATCAGTTGAAAATGTTTGCAAATGTAAGATAATAGGAAACTTTAAAAACAATGCTGTCATAAAATTGAAGATAAAGGAAAAAAGCCTGATCACCCACTTTATTTCAACGCAGTAGTCATTTCTATCTTAATTAATCCCACAAGTTAAATTTGTCTGTTTCAATCAGTTTGTTTTGCTAGGTTATTTTTCATTTACCTAACATGTATCACACTCTATTTAAACTATACCGTCACATGCATTACGTTATGATTTCTTTCATCATACGTAACTTTTGTTTATTCCGATTGTTATTCCTTCAATAATTTTTCATATACGATTTAACTCCAGTATAAAATATATAAACTGGTAATGTTTTCAATATTTACAATCGCTAACAAGAATATTCTACTAGCGATTACAAATTCTTATCCTGTACTCATGAAAAGATGATTTGCTTTAAATTTGATTATTCTTTCTAACTACTAGTGTGAATGTAAACTGTACGACCTGAAGAAAATTTATTGAGGATGCCATTTTCGTGAAAACATATTACTATATTTTCGAAATGACATATATAAAGCCAAAAAAGTCGCGATTGTGAAAAGCAGTCTTGTTACTAGTTAGTGGAATACTTTTAAGTTGATAACTTATCATACTAACCAGAAATGGAAGATAAGTAATGTGATCCGTAATGTGGTAAACATGTAAAACATATGAAATGTGTATATATTTTTTATGTGTAGTTTGGTGTTTTATTTATAAGGAATAAAAATGAAAGATCCTAAGTAAACACAAGAAAATATTTACCTGGTCGACAGTACTGGAGCACACGTTCAATCAACTCATGTACATCTTCTATAGCTGGTGGTGTTTCTATCGGTTCAGCTTTTATAGGAATATAAAATCTAGAAATAAATAAAAACAATTGACTGGTTAGTTGTCCTCATACCAAAACTTAACGCAAACTTTTGACAGACCGACAGTATTTAGTTCTACTGGTTTTCTTGTTATGTTAAATATACACAGAAGTAATAAAATTTTATATTAACTGGTAAAGATTACATAATAAGGTAAATGCGATTGCGATTTACTTACGAACGGGGTTCATAAGTGGATTAAACCATGATATAAAAAGTGTTTTTTGTAAGAATTACTTACTAGGTAATTTCAGAGTAATAATTACCAGGAATAGGTATAAACGAAACTACAAAATACTGATTTATTCTAAAGAAAAATCAACTCGATGGTTATTAGTGAAGATTATATGAGTGAATAGTTGTCGACTAGCACCTTGAGATATAAAAACCAGTTTGGTGCAGTTTCAAGAGTAAACCATAACGAATTTATGAGTTGCCTAGCATTAAATCGCTTAATGAATAACGTTGGTACACGTTAACTTATTCTACTCTGTATATAAAATTTAAACTTTCCGGAGAATATTGAGTCTAATCAAAGATAGATTAAACACCGGATCATCCTGAAGTAGATCATTCGGTCAAATACTTCTGTATTGTATAATAATCAATAAGTTTCTGCATTAAAGTGCGATAATACCTTACTAATCAACCCTCTATAACAAAATGACAAAGAGCGGAGTACCAATCCAGAAGACAATTTACACAGATATATCTGATACGTAGAATATGACAAGTGTTTTTGCATAAATCATCTCTAATAGTGTAAACAATTGGGATTATTAACGCTTAATTGCTTGAAGTAACAGCTGGATAACATTATCTAATAAAAGACCCACAAAGTTTTTAGTGGCCAGTTACAAATGTAAACGTTTTCCGTGTTATACTCTGCTCACTTGTTACGGGTAACCGTTCTGTAGGAAAACAGAAGAAGAGATAGTAATTTTACTAATGGATTCGGAAAAATATAATGTCATTACATTAAGTTATGCCTTTCACGTGCTACCCAAGTGAAGTACATTTATTTTTCATGGTATTATTACGTTTCCAAAAGTAGCAAATTTAATAATTTAGGTGATCAAAGTCAAGGTTTGTGTGAAGGTGCACAAATGTTCTTAATCCTCTACTTTTTCAACCTTTTATTATTAAGGTATTTCCCATAGAAAATAACCTCACAAAACAATGAAACAATTCGCGATTGGGAATCGACAGCGTCAACAACGGAACAAACAGTTGTATAGGTAATCTCATATCTGTTGAATAAGTTAGTGGTTGTATGGGGTTAGTAATTTAATGAACAAGGCTTTCACTTTCGAAGCGATAGATTTTAAACTTGACTCTAAATGTGGGCATCAATACTTGGATGCAGGTACAGACAGACGACTCTGCTGAAATAAAATGGAACGCGAGGCCTGATTCCACTGTTAACCACAACCCACATGCATTAACGCACTGTTACGTTTGTGAAACAAAATAGATTATTGATTTTTATAAACAGAATTATAATTTAGAACAATGTCTACACTAAACTGGAAATATATCTACCAAAATTATCGTCGAATTCTAATAAAGATATGAGATACACGGATATAACGAATGCAGTTGAAGAATACTTACAGGCTGCTGACTTTCTCTTGTTTATGTAGTAAATTATCTGGAGAAAAATTATGAAAAAAAGCTTGTTTTATACTCCAGAAAACAGAGAATAAATCACAAAATAACTGGAATTTGTTGTAAAAGAAAATAAACCACTTTGTCGAACAGAACTTAAGACATTTACGTTAATGTCCAAAGTAAAACGTGAATGAAAATGCAAAGAATTGAAAACTCACGTAGATATACTTGTTGATGGTGCTGTATACAAATCGATCTAGATTTAGGTAAAGGTTGAAAATTAAGTGCCGCTGAAGATTCATCTTAGGTATCACGTTGTGATGTCGGCATTGTGTCAAGCCCACATTGATTATTCTAGCCTCATGATAGACCAATTTATTCATTCTTCATGAGTCACATTTCGATCTTATCAATTATTCGCTTATTATTCTTTAATATTTTTATATGAGCGTATGTAAGTCGATTGCCTATGCTACTCATCACATATCTTTAGCTTACTTTTGTTTAGCTATAAATGTAGAATCAGGCTTTATCAAACTGAGTTGACACAGTTATCTTCTCTAGTCTGCTTCTCCGCTTCGTTTCTCTGATTGCTTATCTGGGGCAACGAGTTTATAAAATATATGTATTCAAAACTCATTTTACTCCGTTATTCTCTAACGCGAATTACGTCGATAACTATGTACGAGGGTCGGTGGCATGTATATTTGCTTAACGCCAACGTTCCATCAAACTTTAACCAGAGCAAAAAAAACTGAATCAAGTTTAAAGACAAATACGAGCACCTAAATCAACAGATGAGTTACGTTCAAATGGGAAAGTGAGATTTCTTTCTGTGGTTCATAAAATGTTAAATGTCATTGACCGGAGACTTTAATACATTTTATTTTTTGAACAATTATATTATTTTCTGGCTCTTTTCAACATCCTGCACACCAAGTTAAACGTTCAATTTTGTCACATCATGATTGCTTTCTTAATATCATATTTAAACATTAATACAACTTAATTTAGTCATAAAATCTTACCTTTAATTTCTTGTTCTTGCTCTTCTTCATCTTCATCATCATTATCAGAAGGAGAGGAAGTATCTACTTCTTCCTGTAGAATGCAAACCTCTTCTTCTTCGTTATCGCTCGTTACAAAGAAACGATGTTGTTCTTCATCTATTGGGGAAGGAGCAGTATCTATGATGTGAGAGGAGAGTGATCTTGTCGGTGATTTTTTTCCACTTTTGCTTTCCAGTATATACTGTTTTTCTATAGTTTCTTTAGCTTGTAAAATCTCACCGACCTTAGGCCATTGGTACTTTAACGCTCCACTACCTTCTTTTACTCGTATTTTAGATTTGGCTTCCTGAAGACCGTATTCAAGTGCTCTCGACCACTTTGTTGGTTCCGCTGTCTGGTGACCAGTATTTTGTTTGGTATTTGTTGATAATATAGATTTTTTTTTAACATCTTGGATTAGAAGACGTAATATGTTTACAGGATTGGAAAATGGAGCGACTTGCATAAATCGAGGTAGATGTTCACATAGTGCGCGGATCCACCACCATGAGGTAGTAGTACATATTCGGGTAGGTTCGTAATACTGATTCTATATTGAAAATATGATATCGATGAACATTTTTGTGACGACAAAACAAATAAAGATTCTAAAATATGAATAATATTTTAGAAGTATCTTAGGTGAATCTGCTGGTAAATTTTCATTGTTTACCATGAGTTACAATAAATTCAAATATGGAATTACACGAAAAAGCTAACATTTGAAAGGCATTAGTATTTTACTGGAATTACTTTACTCCTTCGATTTGATGCATTATAGTAATGTTTCAACAGTTTGGTCTTATCAAAACGAATAAAGTAGTCGGATTAAAAGGAAGAGTATCATAGTAAAAAACCCTCAAAATCTGAACCTAAGGAGTGTACAACAACTCCCCTAGAGTCAATTCTGTCGAGCCGTTTTATTAGCTTATTTATTTATTCGGACAGTAACAACTCGTCTATTTCTTTGTATCATTATGATCACTATCATGTATGTATAATCGTGTATGCTTGATCACATGTGACGGCCTACGCACATATCTTTCTCTAGCTTAACTGTTAATCGCTTAAATATCGCTCGATGACTCATTTTTTTCTTATACACATATATATATTCGCTCGATGTGATTATAACTTTGTTATCAGTGCTATCCGCCAATAAACTGTAGTCTTGTTAATGAGGCCTTAACAGAACAATACTCTAGAAAATCATTTTAAAAGATAACGTTGTTCAGGTGTTCAGGTATCAATGGGTATGTACATGTAAGTCGTGTCAATAGTTTTCATCATATGATTACGAATAAAAAGATAATTTCTGCTTCATTTGTTTTTTTTTTGAATAAGAAAATTCTCAGATTTCTATGTACCGGGAGGGTCTCTTACATCTAATTTCGGTAAGGTGTTTTTAACGACGGTCATAATCAGGCTGTTAAAATTGGAAGGTAAATGTTTTAGAAAAATTATTCAAACTTACTAATTGAGAAACAAGATTTTCCAGCTGAGCAAAACAAGCACTGACAACAGTTTCTAATTCAACAGAATGTTCAGCAATTGATGCAAGCTCTTTTAGCAATGCATTACCTTTTATTGTACTTGATTCACTTTTTGAAAATTCAGTTTTATTTGTGATCGGCAATGCAAGTATTATAGCTGCAATTCTGTAATTAATAATAGGAAGCTTACATATACAAACATATTAGAACAATTAATAGAAATCCAAATAAATAAATACTCCACTTAATTCTGAAGTTTTCAGTTTGCGCAGACGTGGTATACTAACTATAACCGTATTCCAAGGAATTTGTTAATATTTCATGTTTCATTAAAACACGTGACGAAACTGCTTTTGGTTGTTTGTAATGACTTAAAATTGATACTTTAGAATTACTGTCTTTCATTATTTCGTACTAATTGTCATTACGTTTTAACTCCCACGATCTATAGTCTACCTGAATGGCAAGTTAATGTAGGTCCTCCGATTCTTTACGAAGTTGAAAAATCTCGATAATGTAATAAGATGAAGATTATCAGAATCTTCGTCTTCTTATTACATTATCGAAATTTATCAAAGTTGAGAAAGCTATAAGAAAACTGAAGCTAGGGGGAGAATCAGACCCTGACAGGTTTACTCCTGAGATTTTTAAGGATGGTGGCCCAGTATTAGCAGTGAGATTAACTGAGGTCTTAGGAAGAATTTGGGAACTGGACGTAATCACATCTGACTAGTATCAATCACTGATTGTGCCAGTTTTTAAGAAAGGACAAAAGTCCTCTTGTGACAATCACAGAGGAATCAGTTTGACTAACATAGTGTCTAAAATATTAGCCTCAATAATACTTCGACGCCTAACTAAAGCTCGTGAAGAGCAGATTAGAGAAAACCAGGCCGGTTTTCGACCTGGACGTGGTTGTATAGACCAAATATTCACACTACGTCAGGTTCTAGAACACAGACACACATTCAGACGCCCCACAATGGTAGTATTTCTTGACCTTAAGGCGGCATTCGACTCTGTTGATCGTAAGGTTCTATGGCAGTGTTTGTCACTGAAAGGAGTACTAAAGAAGTACATTAACCTTGTAAAGGCTCTCTACTCGAACACAACTGGTCGAGTGAGAGCTTATGGCGAACTGTCATCAGAATTGATTACATCAAGTGGTGTTCGTCAGGGATGTCCACTCTCTCCATTCTTGTTTAACTTTGTCATTGACGTGCTTTTAGGGATAACACTTTCCTCGTCTAAATTTACAGGGGTTGAACTTCTACCGGGAGGTTCACTTGTTGACTTGGAGTATGCCGATGACATAGTTTTATTTGGTGAAGACTCTAACAAAATGCAGTCTTCTGACCACTCTCTGCAACAACGTAAGCATGTTCGGGATGCGATTCTCTCCCTCGAAATGCAAAATGTTGCTTCAGGATTGGGTTGCATCGACACCCGAACTAGTGATAAGGAGTGAAGTAGTTGAGTGTGTCGACCGCTTCACTTATCTTGGAAGTCTCATCAGCCCTTGTGGTTTGGTGTGTGTCGAAATCTCAGCACGGATACAGAAGGCTCGACTAGTTTTGCCAACTCGCGTCATTTATGGCGTAGGCGAGATATCCGTCTATCAAACAAAGGACGTGTTTACTGCGCAGCAGTTCATTCAGTCCTAATTTACCTCTGTAAAACATGGCCGGTAAGAGTAGGGGATATTCGTAATTTACTAGTATTTGATCATAGGTGTCTTCGAAATATTGCTCGTATATCCTGGGACCACCTATTAAGTTATGTAATTGTTAGGAAACGGGTATCAGGTAAGGATAGCAAATCAATTGATGAAGTAACAATAATTCATCAGTTGAGATGGCTGAGACGTGTGTTATGTATGCTCAACCACCGACTGCCCTGATGAGCAATGTTTTATGGTGTGGGAGTAAGTTGGAAGAAAGCTATAAACGGCTAGACCAAAACATGGCACAAATCCATGAAGTCACTGACAAATGAACTGAGCCATGTTGGTATGTGTAGAATACCTGGTTGGGGACCGCGAGATAATAGCAACCGATGGTTATAGACCTTGAATGACATGGCTCAAGATAGTTTGTAATGGCGCATGTGAATCCACTCTTTGTGTTCTCCCAAATTCTAATCTTCTGAACACTTCATGTCCCCTTTTTTTCTCTTTCCAAATATATTTCACCGGATTATACTCCTTGAATAACACCTTCAAACCCTATTTTTTCTGATTACAGCTTATAATTTTAGTACATCTAGCACTAAACTCCGCCTGGAGTCCCTCCGGGGGCTACTGCCGGTTCCAAGCCCAGATAAAGGAGGAGGGTTGGGCATGGGGTTAGCGTCCCCAACCCGTAGAAAACTAACTCGCTAAAAAAACGCTAACCAGGAAACATTATTCAAACCTTTTAACCTCTGCCCTGGGAGTCAGAAGGTCTTCATTTAGAAGAACTATGACGCCTCATGATGAAAGCCGAATTCCTTCGGAAGTTACAAGGCCGATGCCCCTTCTGACAACCAGAGCGACCACTTATTTAGGTACATGGAATGTTCGTACAATGTGGGACACCGGGAGAGACTTCCAAATTGCTGCAGAAATGAGAAGATACAACCTAGAGGTACTTGGGATCAGTGAAACACATTGGACGAAAGTTGGACAACAACGACTAACTTCAGGAGAGCTTCTTTTATACTCCGCCCACGAAGAAGAAAATGCCCCACGTACACAAGGAGTTGCATTGATGCTATCCAAACAAGCACAAAATACACTTATAGGATGGGGATCTCATGGACCAAGGATCATCAAAGCCTCCTTCAAAACAAAGAAAGAGGGCATTTCAATGAACATCATCCAATGTTAAGCGCCTACCAACGACTACAATGAAGACGCTCAAGATCAATTCTACGACAGGCTGCAGTCAATCGTCTAGAAGTGCCAAACAAAGGACCTGACCATTCTGATAAGAGATTTCAACGCCAAGGTTGGAACGGACAACACTGGATATGAAGACATCATGGGACGACATGGACTGGGAGAAACGAAAATGGTAAGAGATTTGCAAACCAATGTGCCTTCAATAAACTGGTCATAGGGGGCACCATATTCCCACATAAACGCATTCACAAAACCTCATGGACTTGACCGGATCATACCACGCAAAACTGAATCGACCATATTTGCTTCAACAAAACGTTCAGGAGGACTACATAGGACGTGCGAAAAAAGAGAGGAGCTGATATAGCATCAGATCATCACTTGCTGGTCGCCAAGATGAAATTGAAACTCAAGAAGCACTGGACAATGGGGCGGACAATATCACAAAAGTTCAATACGGCCTTTCATCAGGATACTAACTTACTTACGCCTGTTGCTCCTCGTGAAGGAGCATAGGCCGCTCACCAGCATTCTCCATCCAACCCTGTCCTGGGCAATCCTTTTCAGCTCCTTCCAGTTGTAATTCATCGTCTTCATATCTGCTTCTATTATCCGACGTAATGTGTTCTTTGGCCTTCCTCTTTTTCGCTTCCCTTCAGGATTCCAAGTTAGTACCTGTCTCGTGATGCAGTTTGACGATTTTCGTAATGTATGTCCTATCCATTTCCATCGTCTTTTCCTAATTTCTTCTCCAGCTGGAAGCTGGTTTGTTCTCTCCCACAAAAGTCTGTTGCTGATGGTATCCGGCCAACGGATGTTGAGTATCTTGCGAAGACAGCTATTTATAAATAATTGTACTTTCTTGATGGTGGTTGTTGTAGTTCTCCAAGTTTCAGCTCCATACAGTAGAACTGCTTTGACGTTGGTATTGAAGATTCTCACTTTGATATTGGTTGAAAGTTGTTTTGAGTTCCATATGTTCTTCAATTGTAGGAATGCGACCCTTGCTTTGCCAATCCTTGCCTTTACGTCTACATCTGAGCCTCCTTGTTCATCGATGATGCTTCCTAGGTATGTGAGGGACTCTACATTTTCCACAGTTTCGCCATCAAGAGTGATTGGATTGTTGTTTTCCGCTTTGAATTTGAGGACTTTGGTTTTCCCTTTGTTTATGCTGAGGCCTACTGATGCAGAGACTGCTGCTACACTGGCTGTCTTCATCTGCATCTGTTCGTGTGTACGTGATAGGAGGGCTAGGTCATCTGCGAAGTCCAAATCGTCTAATTGATTTCGAGCTGTCCATTGTATTCCGTCTTTTCCTTCAGATGTCGAGGTCTTCATAATCCAGTCGACCACCAGAAGAAAGAGGAAGGGAGAGAGTAGGCAGCCTTGTCTGACTCCGGTCCTTACTTGGAATGCATCTATCAGCTGTCCTCCATGCACGGCTTTGCATTGTAGTCCGTCGTATGAGTTCCGGATAATGTTGACAATCTTCTCAGGAACTCCGTAGTGTCGAAGAAGTTTCCATAGTGTCCTCCTATCTACACTTTCGAATGCTTTTTCATAATCAATGAAGTTGATGTATAGTGATGAGTTCCACTCAACTGATTGTTCGACGATGATCCGTAGTGTTGCAATTTGGTCTGTGCATGATCGATCCTTACGGAATCCAGCTTGTTGATCTCGAAGTTGGGCGTCTACTGCATCCTTCATCCGGTTCAGCAACACTCTGTTGAAGACTTTCCCTGGTATTGACAGCAGTGTGATGCCTCTGTAGTTTTCACATTTGCTCAGACCTCCTTTCTTTGGAATCTTGACGAGGTGCTCTTCTTTCCAGTCCATCGGCACTTGTTCCTCCTCCCAAATCCTTTTGAATAGAAGGTAAAGCATGTTTGTAGTTGCTTCGATGTCTGACTTCAGTGCTTCAGCTGGTGTGTTGTCGGACCCCGCTGCTTTCCCGTTCTTGATTTGTCTGACGGCCATTTTGATTTCTTCCTTCGTTGGTGGGTTGACGTCTATAGGAAGATCTGTGTGTGCTGCTTTGGTGTCCGGTGGATTCATTGAAGCCGGCCTATTCAAGAGTTCCTCGAAGTATTCTACCCATCTGTTCCGCTGTTGTTGAATTTCAGTGATTGGATTGCCTTCTTTGTCGTTGACCGGTCTCTCTGGTTTACTGTATTTCCCTGATAGTTTCTTCGTTGTATCGTGAAGCTGTTTCATATTTCCTTCTCTAGCAGCTTTTTCCTTCGTCGTTGCTAGTTCTTCCACGTATTTCTCCTTGTCG